TCTTTGCTCCTTGTCCCAGACGATTTGGGTCTTTCAATAATTTTTTATCTTGATTCGTCTTTTTATCTCCCATTGACAACTTCCCACTATGAATTGATCACCCTTGATTTCGTCCCCTGCCAGTTTGTCCAGTGATTGAGATTAGCTTGATCTAAGGGACCCAACTGTATAGGATACATAAGAACCCTCCTTACCTTTTAATTTTTTTCCCATTTTTCCCCCCTTTTTTTACCTCCATTTTACTTACCTGAGGACGGTAGCAGAACCAGCTTCCGAAACGTCGTGATTCAACTGACTGGGACGATGGATACAGTCCAGAATTTTAGTTTTAAAACAGAACCACAGCATGGTAGGCATTAATCTTCCTTTAAAGAGAAGCAGTATAAAGATCGCGAACCAGATTGGTTCTAGATTTAACAAAGTTTTAAACCAAGACTTGTAAATAGTATAATCATTTATAAATATTTTAATAAATTCATGCACATTGCTGTAATTGTTAAAGGCTAATATTTTATATTCATGACGTTTTAATAATAGTGTCTCTATGTATAGATAATGACCAATGACATTGTAATAGTAGTTTCCACATGTACTGATATGTCCTTCTGAAGATGGTCACTTCGACCAAAACATGTAAAGGATGAAAGATAAAGAAAAGGAAATACATCTGTCAGTCATACTGGACAGCATTAATAATCTTTTATATTGGTTCTAAGTATCATATCCAACCAAGGTCAAAGAAAAACGAGCAAGAACAAGCAAAATATTTCACTTCCAGAATGCTCTTTGAGTATGCAGTTCTTTCGTCTGTCATTATGTGGCAAATTCAGCTTACAGTACCTTTCGTTACTCTCTAGATCACTGTCTCTTCATTTCTTATTGTGACTCACTGTAAGCCACTTATTTACTGATAAAAGTGGCTCAGCTGGGATGTAAGCCAGCAGCAGAGTTAATGTGAGTGAAATTGTTGGTAAGAATGTGTTTAAGATTCAGAAATTTTGGAAGTGTTAGTGTAGTAGAAAGTAATCTCCTATTTAAGATTTGAGGCTTTCACGGCGGTGACTATGAAGAAAGCAGCCTTCTGGGATTTGGCACCGTGTATATGTGGTGTTAACCGACGTTTCGGAGGAACGTATCGCCTCCATCTTCAGGGTAGAAGGAAAAATATAAGAAATCCGCAAGTGAAGAGACCATGAGAACTGGTAAAAGCAGACTGCTTTTACCGGTTCTCACGGTCTCTTTGCTTCTTCATAATCTGCTATTGCTTGCAGTTAGATTTGACATTTAAGTATGTTTTACTTTTGTTTATAAGTTGAGTTGTACCATTTCTTGCAGGTTCTACAAAGTTCTGGACACTTGTATCACATCTTCAAGTATCCGTGCACTCTCAGAATGTGAAAGGCTGCCCCTTGAACTTTGTGAGAATACTGAATGGAGCTCCCTTGCCCCTGACCCAAAGTCTCGAATCACCCTGGTGAATCTGACCACAGGACGTCTAAACAGGCAAGCTGATAATCGGTAGTTACTATGTATTTAAGTTTAGAGATATGAGAACAGTAAAGGTTTTGTTAGTGTTCTAAGTTTTAATTGTATTATGGTATGATCATAGATCATTTCGTTGACTGTGAAATGAGATGCTTACTAAGTTTCAGTACATCCAGAAATTATGAATTGGAGGGAAAGAATGTCATATGCTTAAACCATTAGTGTATTTTATGTTACATGTGATGAGATGGCTCAGTCATTATACTGACTAGAAATTGAGGAATTGTGATTTGACTCCTTGCAGGGGCAAGGAATTTTCTCTCTTTCACAGCATCCAAACTGGCTGTGGGTTCCACCTATCCTCCTCTCCAGTGTCGGTATAGGGACCTCTTTTTCCAGAAAGAAAGTGACTGCACCATGAAGCTCTCCACCTTCTCCACCTAGTACTGAGGTTAAGAATGAGTGGAGTTATACCTGCATTCCCAAATACATCTTCATGGCACAGTGCTTAATTAAGAAGAGAGGCAACTTCACCTGTGCAGTAAATCTGTGTGGATACCAGGGTTCGTTTACCTGGAGTAAAGTGGCTGATTTATGAAGGCAGCTGTTCATTTCCATCTAGTGCCGAAGTTAAGCATGTATGAAGCTACATCCATTGCCCCATATGTTTTCATGGTGTATTGCTTAATTATGCATAAGGATGCCTAACCTTTACTTTACCAGTATGTACCAGTGGAAAGCTTATTAGATTCATTAATGTTGGAATTCGTGACCAGTTGCTTTTAATTGTTTGAAGGTAATAGGTGCATCGTGAATCATCTAACTTATGCCTAAATACTTCAGTTTCTCTGACAGCAACTTACTGAAGTCACTCCAGATTCTAAGTTATGAAAGCAGGTCCAGGAGAATGTAGGCAAAATGGACTGAGTAACCATTGCACTTCCCTGGGCCCTTTTGACTGCCACTTCGTATCATCCCAGATTTAGGAGAAAAAAAAACAATAAATGAGTTAGTGATACTAGTAGGACCCAGTGGGTATGTAATTATCAGACACAGTACAGACAGTAACAGAGCTGTGATATGCACAGTTGGTCCTTATATCTTTACCAGAATGACACTTTTTTTGGTGTGCTTCTTAATTCACAGTATGATAGGTTACAGAGATAAGGCATGACAATGAAAGAGTGGCATAACAAAATATAAAATAGAACCCTGACAATTAGTCCAAGGGTAGGGGCTAGATGAAAATACAAATATAAGCCAGGGACACCTGCCAGAGGTCAGTAAACCAAATAAAAACATGGTCAAGCTGGAGATTTAGAATACAGGGCCAACGCAGTTTACACAGCCACATGCTCACCTCATGACACCCAAACAACAGACGGTTTGTCTAGCCATCTTAGAGGGTTTACCACAGCCAGAGTAGTTGCTGAATGTCTGATCATAGCAATGGGAAGAAGGAGACAGAAAAAGAGGTGAGAGAGAGAAAACATGGGGTGCCTTTTGTTTCAGGAAGTAGTGATGAAATAATGTCAGGAAAAGTTGGATGAATTAAAATACACTGTACGTGTGTGGAACATAGTGCTTTCACGAGTCTTCCATTTATTAGAAAAAGTGGAAACGGATATATAAAAAAAATAAGCATAAATGTTGCCAACTTATGATGATGATATGATTACCAATCCAACATGACCTCCTAATCTCATCACAATCATAAGTCAACAATCAAGTAAAACATAATATAATTAACTATGCAATCAAATTCAACTTGCGACGAAAATACTCAGTTTTTGGACCTGGCAGAGCTTTGGTCAACAAGTCTGCCATCAATTCTTCACTCTGAATATAATCAAGTTTCACTTTACTTTTCTTTATGGCTTCTCTGATAAAATGATGCTTTAACTCTATATGCTTAGTACGCTTACTGAATCGCCTATCCTTACTTAACATTTGGGCTGACTGATTATCATTAAAGATTACAGGTACTTTCTCTTCATCCATCAATTCTAGTACAAAGTTTGATAAGTAAATCCCTTCTTTAATACCTTCAACCAGTCCATTCAGTAAATCGTGTAAACGTACACACTCTCTAGCGGCATCATTCAGCCCCTTGTACTCAGCTTCAGTACTTGACAATGATAACGAATCATGTTTCCTGCTTTCCCAAGAAATTACATTACCACCCAATTTGAAAACATATCCAGTATACGAGGTCTTGTCAAGAGGGTCATTACCATGAGCTGCATCAACATATCCACACAAATCTAACTTTGCTGTGGTATTCTTTTGGAACGTTAACTTAGTGTCAACAGTCCCTTTCAAGTACCGTAGTACTCTCTTGGCAGCTCGGACATGCACTTCTCCATAGCAAGTGTTAAAACGAGATAACAAACTTACAGCATGAATTATGTCAGGTCTGGTACAAACTCCGATGTACATGAGACATCCTACTAGACTCTGATACGGAAAACTAGTATCACATACACCCTTCTCCAATTGGGTCCCTGTAACTAGAGGAGTTCACGCTGGTTTGCTGTCTTGCATGCTAAACTTATCTAGGACATTCCTAATATAGTTGCTCTGATCCAAAGTGATTACATTGTTCGATCTTTCAACTCTCATCCCTAGAATATTCTTAGCTGCACCAAGATTCTTCACTGGGAACTCATTACTTAGTGCCTTCCTAAGCTTTTGCATTTCTACAGTATTACTGTAAAAGACAAAGATTCAACCACATAAATGGCTACTATTACAACACCTTTCTCACTGGACTTCGTATATACACAGGGTTCGAATTCACACTGTCTAAAGTCATATTTACACAGTTCAGAATGAAGTTGTTCATACCAAATTCGTGAAGATTGCTTAAGACCATACAATCCTGTTCTCAATTTGCATACTTTACCTTTTACATCCGTAGCATTTAGCCCATAAGGCGGAACCATATACACATTCTCCTTAAGAGGGCCATGCAGAAAGGCGGTTACAATGTCCCAGTGATCTATTTTCCAATCTAACTGAATAGCTAAAGAAAGCAAAAGTCTCAGTGTGGAGTACCTTAGTACGGGAGAAAATGTTTCTGTATAATTAAACCCATAAGTTTGTGTGAATCCTTTGGCCACTAATCGTGCCTTGTGTTTTGTAATTTTGCCTTCACTATCGTGTTTAATTTTAAACACCCACTTATTACCCACAGCCTTTTCTCCTGGAGGAAGGTTCACTAAGTCCCACGCTTTATTGCTTTTCAAAGCGTCAAGTTCTTCATTTATCGCTTCAATCCACTTGTCACTATCAGCACACTTCAAGGCTTGCTCAATGTCCTCAGGTTCCTGGTCACACTGCACTGCACTATACATGACATGATCAGGAAAAACTCTAGGTGTACGTTTGCGTAATGGATACCTTCGGACTTGTGTGTCCTCACCAGATTGGTTCTGATGAGATCCACCTTCTTCCACTAACTGGATGTCATGGTCCTCACTGTCTACGGTGGTAGTGCTTCTGCTGTCCTCAGAGCCTGACTTATCTTGAACATTCGCCTCCTCCATATCATCTGGATCCTTTGAATGGAACTCACTAACTACGGGCAAAGGATCTGGGGTTGGCTTGCTGTCATCAACTAATTTACCTGGAAACCTATTCTCAAAGAAAACAACTGTTTTGGCAATTGTGAGATTACCCTTGTGGTCAGTGTCCAGCAATCTGTAGGCCTTGCTGCTCTCACTATATCCCACAAATATTTTCTTCTCACCCTTTGGATCCAGCTTCCTTCGCTTCTGTTTTGGGATGTGTGCATAAGCTTCACAGCCAAAAACCCTTAAATGGCTGAGACTTATCCTTTTCTGCCTCCAAAGTTCCTCAGGTATTTTTCCTGACACTGCCTTAGATGGACACCGGTTTCTTACATAGATTGCAGTGTTCACTGCTTCTGCCCAATATCGCTTGTGTAAACCAGCTCCTTCCAGTAAGGTTCTTGCGGTCTCGATTACAGTCCTGTTGGAGCGCTCTATTCTGCCATTTTGTTCAGGACAGAAAATGACTGTTCTTTCATGCTTTATTCCTCTCTCAGTTAGAAACTCATTCATCTATTTACAGAACTCAGTTCCATTATCAGTATGAATGTACTTCAACTTCTCACCTGTTTCGATTTCTGCTCTCAGAGTGAATTCTTTGAAGTGTTTAAAGACGTCTGATTTTGTGGCGAGAAAATATCCAAACATTTTTCTTGAATAATCATCCTTCAAAAGTAGTACATACCTGGAACCACTGAATGATCTTTCTTCTAAAGGCCCACAGAGATCTGCATGAACCAATTCCAGTCTCTTACTTGATCTTGACTCACTCAATGGGAAAGGCTGTCTTGCCAGTTTGCCAGTTACACATGGGATACAATCCAACTTGTTCTCAGAATCCGGAAAATTCACTCCACAATCAATTTTTCTTAACTTCAACATATCAGCTGCATTAAGATGGACCAGACGTTGGTGTCATAAAGCTGGACTCTGTATGTTCGCCCTGTTTGCTTTAGGTTGGCTAATAGCATAGCACTTCAATTTGTCCTCAACTTCTAGTTCATAAATTCCACCCACGTCCTTGGCTGTACCAACTATTGTTCCTGTGACTCGACATCCTTTGCTGTTAAATATCTGACACCCTTTATCTGCAGAGAAAAACATACAGTATCCCTTTTTCACAGT